GGTTTTTGCCCAAGGAAAAATTGATGTTTCAAACCAGGACCACTGAGTTCAGTACATGGAGACGAAGAAGAACATGTCCTCGCGCCTAATTTATAATGAGAAACGAGCTATTCGCTATTTTTTCGTTGCTTGCCTAAGACCACGCCTGAAAACCGTGGCCATACGTGTGTGTTTCAGACAAAAGGAAGAAGACAACCTCGTTGTCACCACGTGATAGGTCCTTTTGAAATTCGCGCGTGTTTCACCAATTAGCATTATGTTTCTTTTATATTGTTTATGTTATATTATATATTAAATGAACTTGCATAGCTCAGCTGGCCAGGGGACGCGTTGGTAACCTTCAAGACCTGGGTTCAAGTCCCAGGTCTGGCAAAAGTTTCACATTATTTTTCATAAAAAATTCTTATGCAGCGCGCTTGAGGACGTTCACCATACACACTCAATATTCATCGCCCACGTGTCCCAGGCAACCAAATCAAGGGCATGGATTCCAGGAGTGCAATGAATATCAGTCAACGCATGACACATGATCCAGAAAGTCAATGAAATTCCATGCTTATTGGGCCAGGCTTTCCAAATTCATACCTCCTAAATTGGGGATTACACCCCACTCTGGTTTGATTTCCTTTTTATTTCATTTATTTTAATTGATTGTTTATTTTAATTATTTGTTTTAATTAAGTATTTTTAACAAAAATCTAAAAACATTATAAAAATCAGAAAATACAGAAAAAAACATAATATTTATTTTATTATAATTATTTTCATAAATAAATTAGAATGTAAATTATGTAGTGTAATTAGGTTTTAATTTTAATTCCTTTTTTAATAAAAATCCAAAAATGTAGAATTTAGGTTTTAATTGTTAATTCTTTTTATTTCCCTTTTTTCCACAATAATAATTATTATTTATTTATTTAGTTTTCTATTTAAATGGTATATAAATAAATTAGGTTTAATTTAGGTCATATTTCAATTCTTTCTTAATAAATAAAAATATTAGAGTTAGGGTTTGCCGTCTAATTTAATCTCAATTAATTTCCTTTTTTTTCATTAAATCTAAAAAACACAAAAATATCATTCTCATTTAATTTTAATTTTTAAGTCCTTATTAATTTTAATTATTTGCAAAAAGGGTCCAACGCCCTAGTTTCGTTTCAATTATTTAATTTGCGCATTTATCTTATGTCGTTTAATTGTAATTATGTAATTGTCCCTAAGCCATGTAATTTACTTTTCGCACTTTTATTTTATTGCTTTATTTATTTTCCGTTAAATCGGGTCCGGTTAATTTTGGCGATGTGGACCCGCGCCATTTGTAATAGTTTAGATTTATTTCCTCGCAAAATATTTAACTGTTAACCAAGCATGAAAGAATGAATGTCTTAATAAAATCAAGCGTAGATCACGACAAACGTGACAAGACAAATAAATGAAACTTGACACACGAATCGCACACACCACCCCTAGGGTACGCCTCACTGTTGCCTTGCCTCGAAAGGTGATTGTCGAGTAGAGGATGTCTTAGTAAGTCCTCATGATCCGGGAACCTGGCATGAGGGTAGCTTCTAAGGTGTCTTCCCATTGCTCCGGTGATCACCATGTCCCTAAAACTCGAATTGACCCGAACACCTCCAACGGTGGTGCTACCTACCTCTCAATGGTGGGATGGCACTACTTTAAAGGACATTTACACAGACGAATTCCTTAGGGTAGGTAGGTTCTCGTAGATACTTGCTCTAATTTCAAAACAAAACAAAATACTTTTCACACCAACACATTTTCAAAAAGCTTTCGAAAGCAATTTTTCAAACACTCTGACGTACGAGTCGAACTGAAATTTTTCAAAGAAACTTTTTTGAACCCACAATTGAAAAGCAAACAAAACACTTTTGAAAACACATTGAGCAAGTATCTAAGAGCCCATGGATAACCATGGATAGAAAGGGTGCTAACACCTTCCCTTTCTATAACCTACCTCCCGAACCGAGAGCAATCTCTTAAAAGGAATTTTTCTGTGCTTTTGTCCTTTCCATTTGGAGAAAATAAAAGACGGTGGCGACTCTTGCTTCCGCGACATTTCGAACCAGCGTTAAACAGTCAGTTCCAGATCCACCGATCACAGAAAGTAAAGGTGATCTAAACCCTAAGGTAACCCCACTTAAAAAAATCTCCCCAGCAGAGTCGCCAGTTCTGTGATACGGTGGGAGAACTGACTTGAGGTTTGCGTTTGTATTCGCACTTGTGCGGTTAAGCAAGAGTCGCCACCGACTTTTTATTTTATCCTAAAGGAAAGGTTAAAAAGCACAGCAAAAACCTTTTGAGATATTTCGTGGGTTCGGGGGGTAGATTATGAAAAGGGAAGGTATTAGCGCCCTTTTCATCCATGGTTATCCATGGGCTCTTGGTTACTTGGTTTTTTAGATCACTTGCCTTGTTTTTCGATTGCTTTGAAAATGGTGTGTGTGTGGGTATTTTTGAAAATGCTTTGGAAAAAGATGCCTTGTCTTAGGCAACCAATGTATTTGACTCGTGTTTGAGTGTTTTACAAAAGTGTGAATCTTTTCGAAAAGATGTTTTCAAATGTTTTTTGAGAGTTTGTTTGAAAGTGTTGTGGATTGTGGTTTTTGAAAAGAAGGCAAGTGTTTTTGCAAGTTTGATCTCAAGTAACTAAGAGTTTTGTCTACCCTATTGTACTCAAAGGTTTTTGTCATGTTTTAACCCTTTTTAGCAATTTTGTTCCACCATTGAAATTGATGGACGACCTTGCGTTTAGGAAGTTTATTCGGGACGGGCGCGGGTCATCGTATGGACCATGAATGCAATGATGCCAAGTGTCTTTGACAATTTGTTTTGAAGGGACTATGATCATTCCGTTTAGGCAACACTTTGAGACTTATGATCATTTGATTTGTTTTGCCAAAGATACTCGACGTGCAAGCATGGCCCATTTTGGAAGGCAACAGGTGGGATTACCCTAGGGGGTGCAAGTGTGATTGTGTATTGATTACATGTATTTGTCTTGTATTAGGTTATCTAGCGTTTGATTTTATGTACATACAAACCCTAGGTCTAACCATGGTATAATTGAAAACTGTAAATTGCGGAATATAAATCTACGCTATTACAAAATAGTGTCCGGGAGTGGGGGTATAAATGTACAAGGGGATGAGACTTATAGTATCCAATAAGTTACAACCAAATCGAATGTCGCAATCAAATGTAAATATCGAATATACAAATATAAGATAAAAATGTGTATAGGGCAATGTATTGTGTAAGTGTAAATGTGAGATGTATATTGTATTGTGTATGTGTAATTATTTACAGGTGAATTGTGAAGTTGAAACGTATTAGGGTTTGACCTAGAGGAATGTTTTTAATGAATTTTTGATTTATATGTTTAATTATGTACAAAAGAAAAATGTTTTTAATTAAATGTTCAATTTTTAATTGGAAAGTATTTTAGTCCAAATGTTTGTGAATTTCAATATTAGAAAAATGTATTGAATTGTTATGTACAAATGTGTATATTAACTAAAAGAATTTCAATTTTAATTATGTATGAAAAAGAATGTTAACTAAAAAAAAGAGTTTAATTTTAATTATGTATGAAAAATGTATAATATGTACAAATCGATGTTTTAAAATGTATGTACAAATATATTTTAAATGAAAGAGTAAATAAATAAATGAAAATAATTATTTTCAAACTCAATATATGAGGTAAAGATGTATTTTTAATTAGGTTAGTATGTTTAATTAAATTAAGAAATAAATTGTGTATGTTAAAAAAAATGAATTAATTGAGTTAGTATATAAAAAAAAGTAAACATTGTTTTTATAAAAATGAAAAGAGTTAATATTTTATCAAAAAGAAGAAGTAAATATAAACTAAGGTTAGTGATTAATGGGCTTAGAATAATTAGGAACGGGTCAGGCCCATGGATCTGGAAACAAAATTAGGGTTAGGCGTTTTGTTTTCAGAACGAAAGTTAGGGTTTGGGACGGCGCCGTTCACTTGAATTTCGTCTTCTTCGTTCAAGCTTTCCGAACAACTCGACTCCGGCCACCAGCGTTATTCCAACGGACCTCTCTTCCCTCCAGTTCAGTGGATACGTTGTTCAAGGTTTGTTTCAGTGTTCCCTTTTTTCTTCTATGACTGATACGCGTGGAATTTGTTCTGAGCTCTTTATTTTTTCGTTTTTTATGAGGTGAAGGGGAAGATATAGCAAGTTCGTTACCTGATTTTTGGAGATGGAGGAGAGAAGAGGGGTGACGTTGAGGAGGCCGGAGCGGCGTGAGGAACTTTGAGCTTGCTTTGCTTTTGACGCTTCCCTGGTATTTTCGTTCTTTGCTATATTTAGGGCTTTGATGATGATGTACACTGAGAAACCCTAATGTATTCACTTCTTCATCTTCTTCTTTCCTACTGTGATGCCTTTGGGAATTTTGTATGTTCTTGGAATGTACTTGCTTGTCTATGGTTTTGATGATGACGTGCACTGAGAAACCCTAATTCACTTCTTTATCTTCTTCTTCCATGCAACTGTTGCCTATGTATTGTTGCCTCTGAGTGACTCGAGTTGCTTGCCTATGATGAAGCTTGCTTCTGAGGCTCTTTGAACTGCCTTTTGAGATTGCTACTGTTGAAACGATTTTTTTTTACTAGCTTTCTTCTTCTCTACTGCTTGCGTTGCCTTGGGAATTCTGTATGTTTCCTTTGCCTATGATGAAGCTTGCTTCTGAGGCTCCCTTTCCTCTTCTCTACTGCTCACGTTGCCTCAATTTGTTGCTTCTTCTTTGTCCCTGAGTTGCTGTATGCCTGTTGCTTTGAATTGTTGAATGCTAGCTTTTGAATATGTGTATGCTTTTAGAACATTGGCTGCCTTAGTATTGCCTTGAATGTTGAAGAGATTCTGAGATTGATTATCGCCCAGTGATGTTTATGCTGAGGGCTTAGGGCTCGGGCACTGAGTTGCTTAGATTGAAGGGTTTAGATGTTGGGTGAACTGGTCTTGCAGGGTTTTTCTATGCTTTTGAACTGTATGTTTGATGGTTTATTGACAGGTTTGTGTAGTTTTTGAGTTGAGTTCTGAGATGTGTTATGTTCAGTATGTTTGTGTTTTAGAATGTGTCTTTGAAGGTTGAGGCAGGGTATTGGTGTTTGATAGGTTGCAAGTTATGGTTTTTTGTTATGACAGTAGATTGGGTTCTGTTGAGACAGGTATGAGGTTTTTTGACAGCAGCAGGTATGATTTTTACAGGGGTTTTGGGTAGTTCAGTTCATGTGTTCAGTTTATGTGTTTGTGAGGTCATGACAGGCTTGTTATGTGAGGTTTGGCCTTTACTGATGCAGGTTTGTGGCTTCTCAGATTGCAAGTTATATGCTTGCTTTGTTGTGAGGCTTGTTGCTTATGTTGGACTGAGTTTTGTATATTTCTTTTCTATCCTAAACTCTCCCTTCTGCCCCGTCTTGGTATATGCTTGGCCCTCTGTATATTATGCAGAGTTGTGTGTTTTTTTATCTTTTCTCCCTCTCCCTTTTGCCTGCTGTGCTGAACTGTTTTATTGGCTTGTGTGTACTGAGGCAGAGTTGGTATGTTTTGACAGTTCCTCCCTCTCTATCCTAACCTGCTATGCTGAACTGAGTTGGCTTTATCTTTTCTGCTGTCCTGATGCCTATGCCTAACCTGAACTGAGTTTGCTTTATCTCTCTTTTTTCTCACTTTACAGTACAATAAAGAATTTTATAATGTTATTATTGTACTATGTTCTGAAGGGGTTTGACTAGGGAAATGATGACTTTGGATTTCTTGCATAACACATTTTGCATCTTTTTCTCCAGCTTTTGCGCTTTGCTCTGACTTTGCATTTTGATATCTTGGCAAAAATCTTTTCATGACAGCTTTTGAGCTTTGATAGCAACTTGTACTACTTTGATTTCTTTCTTTGAGTAAACTGACAGTAGTGCCTTTGCTTTGGATGGAAAGTTTGAGATTGGATTTGAACTATATGGTTTTGAATTGGAAATTGAGATTTTAAATTTCTATGCAACTTGAAATTTGTAACTTATGCATTTTTGACATTTCATGAAATAAAAAATCTTCCCTCTCTGTGAACCGGGAGAAATCCCGTGATTTGCAGAGAGGGTCAACTGATCCCAGTCAGTGGCCCCTAATGATGAGCAATATTCTATCTGTCTCTTTTAAAATGCCTTCTGACTTTTCTTGTTTCTTTTCGCAGATAAAAAATGGAGTACCGGAGCGGAGTGAAGAACGAAGAATATTAGAAAATAGGATAGTTTTTTCATTCTATGTAATATTTAAATTAAATGTAAATTATTGTCTGTAATTTAATTTATAAACAACAATTTGTACAAATAATTCAAATATCAATAAAAATCCAAATTATCCAATTGGTTCTAATTTTCTTTATTGCTTATTTATTTATTTATTTAAAATTCTTAGAATTAAAACAATTGAAAGATAAATTTCAATCATTCAATTTTAGAATAATGAATAACTTAAATAAAACAACATTGATCAATTAAACCCGTCTTATTCAACATCCAGAGCAAAGCAGCAGTCAATCCAAATAGAATGATCAAACGCATAAACACTGTGAATCCAACACTGCATCCTGTATACGACTGGCCCAATCAAAACGTACTGAATTCAAACCACTGTCTCTTTTACTGATTAAACCAAGATAACGCGAATTTTAATCTGAATCTTGAAATAAACCGCAAAGTGCTGTGGAATTTAAATTCTTCTGAGAATATGCCCATAAAACCCTAATTCCCGATTAAATGCCAAATCACGCTCGCTTAATCAAAATTGAACCAAAAATCAACCAAACCCTAAGCCCACTGTATGAAACAATTCAGAGCTCTGAAAATCAGTAAAAACCCTAGTTTTGCTTGACTGTCAAGAAAAGTCCATTTGTCCGATTCTTGAGCCAGTTTGAAAAGTCAGGAAATGTTTGAAGCTGAGATTTCTTGGGGAAAAATGCGAGGGCAAATTTTGGGGTACAACACACAGGAATAACCTTTGAGATTATTTCTTGAGTTCGGAGGGTAGATTATGAAAAAGGAAGGTATTAACACCCTTTTCATCCATGGTTTTCCACGGGCTCTTAGTTACTTGCTTTTGTTTGAAATTGTGCTTTGTGTGGTTTTTGAAAGTATTTTGTAAAGAAGCCATTGTTTAAGCAATCTTTGTAATGATTCTTGTTCGTAAGAATGTATACAAAGATGTTGATCTTTTGAAAAATGTTTTCAAGTTTTGTAAGATGTTTTGAAAGTGTAGGTGTTTGTTTTAAAAATAGCAAGGATATTTGTTTTTGAAATGGAGTAAATAATTAGGAGCAATCTACCTACTCAGATGTCTTTCTTGTTTATTTCCTTTTCCTTTGACATTGTTGTCTTACCATTGATTTGGTAAGTAACCCCATCTTTGGATGTAAACGGGACGGGCGTGGGTCATCATATAACAATGATTAGCAATGTTGCAAGGTATCTTAGCATTCTTTTGGAGAGACTAAGATAATTTGTATGGCAACTTAGATAACGTCATCGAGGGACTATGATCTTGTATTTGCTTGTTTTTGCTAAGATACCTTACATGCGTAATATGGCCATTTTGTATAAGGCAACCAAGTGGAATAACCCTAGGGGTGCTTGTGTGCAAGTGTATTGATTTCATGCTTGTTTTTGTATTGAATTAGGGTTTTCTAGGTATTGGTTTTAGTCTTTCCATACAAACCCTAATTACTAGCATGTTATATAAAAGCGATAAATTGCGAAATTTAAAGTTACTACGCTATTACAATATTTGTGGGGAGGGAATGTACAAATTCATGAATGGGGATTGCAAGAATTTATACCTAATTAGTCTATTACAACCATATTGAATTGATATGAATATACAAGGAATTGAATAAATACAAAGTATAAAAATGAACAAATGTACAAGGATGCAAAATGTAGAGAAAATGAATTTTGTTTAATTTTCATGAAAAAAATATTTTGTCTTAACCTAATTAAATAAAGAAAATAGTTAATTAAGTTTGAATTTATTAAGAAAATATTTTAAATGAAAACCCTAATTCTATTAATTAATCAAAAGAAAATAAGTTTAAGAAAAGTATTTTTTTGGTATTTTGTATCTTGAAAATATTTATAGTATTATAATATATTTTTAATCTTTTTTTTTATATTAAAATAATGTATTTTAAATGGTGTGAAAAAATAAATAAATAACAAAAACATAATATTAATTAAGTTTACAAGGTTTACTTAATACATAAATAAAGTATAATAAATAAATAAAATATTTTTGTAGGAAAATAAAATAAAATAAGTCAAAATATAAATATGTCATTTTTTTGTATTTTATGATTTTTAGTATTTAGAAAAATATATTTAAGAAAATAAAAATGAAAAATAGATAAATAAATAAAATAACTTGGGCCAGGGGGTGCCAAGAGCCTGCAAGGTGGTTAGTCAGTAAAAAAACAAATAAACAAGGCAAGCCCAATAAAGGCCCAGGTGCTCAAAAAAACAAGTCAGAAATGTCAAAAATGTATGAAAAATGCAAAAGGGTACTACTGGGGCTCGAACCCAGGTCCCATAGGGTTACAGGCACGCGCTTCTACCACTGGGGTGGCTATACATCCGTTAATACAAGTAAAACAATAAATATGTAAGGCAAAATGCGCCCTGAAGACTTCATCTTCAACCTCCAGCCAGACCATCTGTAACTTGCTCATTTCCCATCAAAAATAAAAACTGTAAACATGAAACTTGTAGCAAATTTTCTCACGATTCCAGAAATGTAAAATATTAAAACTATAGATCAAAGATAAGCATGAATTTTAATGGCCCTAATCTGAACCCTAAAAATTTCAGAGATTTCAATTTCAAAATTCTCTAAGCTCAAGTAAAATTAATGGAAACTATGGACATGGTTAGCTTCAGGGCAATGATATCTACATGTTTTGTTCATAAATAAACTATTGATGATGCCTGTATGAAGAGTTCCAAGTTGAGAAAACTTACCTCAAAACTGGAAATCGTGTTTGGAGTTTGAGCTTGTTTCAGGCAGTGGTGATGATCAGGTTAGCTTCCTTGAGATCCTAAGAAGCTAATGCAATGGTTTGCTTGAGTTGAGAGTGGCTGAAATGACCTGGATAAGTCCAACTGCAATGCTCTATTTTTGGCTATAGAAGTTGATGAAGATGGAGTTACAGTTTGCAAACAGGGACAGGGATGATCTGTATTTGGTATGAGGAAGCTTTAGGAATGAATTTGAGGGAAAACGCACGAGGGAAATGAGAGATACAAGTTTAAGGTCAGAATTATGTATCAATGGAGTTTTTTGTGCAATTTCTGGATAGAGGGAATTTGGGAGTGTTTCAGGATCTTAAAGCTCGTCCTCTAGCTCACAAATAGTGACTATTTATAAGCAATAAGTTTGGAATGCTCTAGTTGATCAGAATTCAAAATCACAAGTTTATGCATAACATGTGATTTTTTTGAGAAACCAAGTTTCAATGCTTTGTACTTGGTTCATAGAGTTGTCTTACTACTTTAAACACAATCCTTCTGACTTTGTGGATGTAATATAATCAAGGAAAACAAGTTGGGAGCTCAAGAAGCTGACTTTGTGCATAAAGCTTGCTTTACAAGAATGGATATGTTACTTTCTCCCTAAAATGGCAAATTGATTTGGACAAAGCTTGAAACACTTGGATAAGGGCATAATCAGTTGTGTAAACCATTAATTATGGAGTGAAAAACAAGTTTGAGGCCTGCAAAGCAAGGATTATGTAGCCTAGCATGGATTTGGTTCATGTGTTCATCAAAAATGACTTGTAATTCAAGTGACAAAACCCTAACTTCATCTATTCGATTCTCCCTCCTCAAGAATGATCTCAAGAAGTTCTTGGAAATTTTGAAAAGCTTGCAATGTGATCTACAACCCATATTTGAATTTCTTTTGAATATTCCCCTTGGAACTATATGAAAAAATGCCATGAAGTTAGGTCAAAATCCTGACCAAATTAGGGCAAAATTTCACTAAGTGTTTAGTTTCATGACCACATGTTCATAAAATTATAACTTGAGATCCAAGCATTTTTGAAAGGAGTTGTGTAAAGCAAAGTTGTATATTTCATGGAGATCTACAACTTTCATGTTGGAAGTTTATCTTGAATCATCTTTCATCATGGTGAAAATTAGGCTCAAAGTTATGAAAACATGTGAAATTTCCAACACTTAGAAAAATTTCTAAGTTTAGAAATTTTGAATTTTCAAAATGAAATCTTGAATTTTTGATTTCTTGATGAATAAGTTTCATATTTTTACATTTTTCGATGAATTGTGATCCTTGGCACTTGAATTTGACCAAAAAGTCAAAGTTTGACTTTTTAGTATACAGTTGACTTTTGATCAGTTGACTGCAAAATTCATATGTCAATCTAATGGACTTGCAATGTTTTGAACTATGTAATTAGGTCAAAATTATGCAATTGGGATCTTGAGATCATGCCTTAAACCAATTGACCATTTGCTAGGTCAAAAATTAGAAATTGCTCTTTTCCAGTCAAAACCCTAATTTTCACCATTTTACCCTTTTGGGGATTTGATCAAATTTCTTGAGGAATTGTGATACAAACTTGATCAAATGATACATATGAGTCTAAAATGTTGATGTGGATAAAAAATTATGAAGTTTGACTGTAAATTGGCCACAATTGACTTTTTTCCCAATACAATTGATTTTTAGGTCAACTGCTCAATTGACTGAGCAAAAATGTGATTCAAGGCTTGAAACTTGGCATGATTAATCTTAGGGGTCCATGATGATCCATGAAAGTCACATGCGACATTGGAAGTTCAAAAATCCTTGTGAAAACTCAAACCCTAATTTTGGGTCATCAGTGTTTGAGGAGGTGTCTTGAGCTGATCAAATCCTAGTGCAGTCTTGAGCCCAAGGAGATCTTGTGAGTAAATTCTTGATAAGTGAGAGGGAAAATTTTGGGGCACAACAATGTGAAACTGTGATGAAGACGCAATTGTTAATGTCGTTGAATCGATGAAGATCGGAGAATGTGAAGAGTGATAGAGACGGAAGTCGGTTGTGTGATCTGTTGCGCAGAGGAGTTACTAATCTTTAAGTTCAAAGAGGTTGTGAATGTGGCATTGGTGAAGGTTGTAGATTGACGAGGGTGATCGAAGGTGAAGATATTCGGTTGAGGAAGATGGTGATGATGAATTTGTATCAATAAAATGGAACCGAGAGAGAAAGCTTTGATTGAAGAAGATTCTTGAGGTGAGTTTTTCTGATTGCTAAATAGAGAATCCTTTGCCAGTTTTTCTTTGTGTGAATGAATAAGGAATCACGAATCACTTCTCCCTCTACCCTTTCTGGTATCTTATGTTATCTCATTTCTGAACTTGTTGAATCGGCATGACTTGCAGGAGTTGATGTTGCAATATCGCTGCGATAATATTGATGACGCGAGATTCTTGCAACAAATTAAAGCTTATTGCAGCATGATGATGCTAACGTTTGAAGCAAACCATGGATGATACCAATGTGTTGATCATTGATACAAAGATGATGATGAAATCATGGTTTCGGTGCGGTTTTGATGAAGGTTGTAGAATTAGTGAAGATGTTGTGTGAAGGATGCTGAGAATGATGAAGGTGATGAAGCATGTTGAAGATGCAGAGGTCTAGAAATGGATGATGATCTAGGAGTGAAGTGTTGTGCATTCAAAGAGAGATATAGAGAATCAAGGTCTTGGATGAAAGAGAGAATGGAAGGTTGACAATGACCAAGCGAATCAAGGTTCCAGATGACTCCCCATAGTAGAAAAGGCGAGTCTTGCAATTTTTTGTTATCTGTTATGAATCTGTTAACCTTTTTTTGTTAGGAATTTGTTAGCTTCTTTTTTTCAATTCTATTACCAAACTGTTTTTTATTCTGTTTCCAATTTGTTAGCCTCCCCAATTCTGTTACCAAACTGTTAGCCTCCCCAATTCTGTTACCAAACTTTTAGCCCTCCCCAACTCTGTTACCAACCTGTTATCCGTCCCCAACTCTGTTACCAACCGGTTATCCGTTAGAAGTTAGTTAGCCCACAGTTAGAGGTTTTAGAGAGTTAGTTACATGTTGATGAGTTAGACAATTTCTGTTATAACAGTTTGTTTTGGGAAATCTATGATATTTTAAGTATTAGTAAGTATTCCTGGTTTTCCTTCTTTTTACTGCTTTCATTTTGCACTCAGCCTGTGTCCTGCTATTTTCTGACTTCTGGTTTCATATTCAAAAACTTTCATCCGCATTTTTCTTTTGTTTTTCTTCAAACCCTTGTTTTGTTGAACTCTTGTTTGTCAACACACAAGTTCGATATACGATATACGAATAAGTTTCCGATTGAAGCATAAAGGCAACGATGCTGGTTTTGCCGGTTCCATAGAAGGATCCTGCATATATTTCACTGAAGACAAACTGGACAACTGTTGGAAAGGGTGATTTCTTGGCTTGGAAAAACTCATACTCAAAAATTGGTAGGTTGTAAGCACGGAAGCGGAAGCATTCAGGATGCTAGAATGCACTAGAGAATTTTAGATATCGCCCATAATCAATCTCAGTATTGCATCCATTCACTTTTTGATTCTCTTCTGCAAACACAACATAACAGCACAATTTACATCTTCATTCTCATTCTCAGTTTCATCCGACTTTTGGATTATTTCATGGAACATGCCTTGGTGTCAGTAGCATCCGCGAGTTAGCTTGATATAGGGTAAGCCTTTTCTAGTGTGAAATTGGTTTATCTGGTTTGGTATTGTAGCAATTAGGTGAACCATGTTTTAGGAGTTTAACACATGCTCCAAAAGAATGCTGCCTCTTTAGTTACTGCAGGTCTGTATATATTGTTTGACCTGTCTTGACAGTGATTTTTTTTTTGCATAATGATGATATTTATACAGGTTTTAAGGACACAACTTTAGCAAGGCAGCTCAATATGATCTTGATGCAAGCTTCTTGTGAACACTGAGATTTGGCTAAGGAAAGCAAGGGATAGTCTACAATTTTAAGACTTAGGAATTCCAAATTTCTTTTTCTTTGTATCATGTAAAGAGATCTATTTAGATAGTTGACTGTAATTTGAAACATTTATGAAAAAAATTTGGTTACAAATTCTATTCTCTTCACATCTATATCCCTACATCCTTTTTTCAAAATTTTAAATTGTGAATCTTGTATGAAGCTTTTGAGAGTAACTTGTAATTTCACTTTAAAATAATAAATTTCCTTTTCCAACTTCGCAAGCATTAAACACTTCTGATTCATTTGAGCACCTTTAAGCGACTTGAATGAACAAACAGTGAATCTAAATTTCCCCATTTCTTGAATAAACTCAGGCGACCATGTTCTTGTGTTTCAGGCACAAAATGTCTTGATCAAAATAAATCCACATGCTCATCTCAAACCCTTGTACTCATACTTTAATCTAATATGACAAAAACATGTCTTGAATATTAGAAGATGAATGGTACTTGGAGCATAGAAAAGGAACATATGACCATGAAAACCCTAATTTCAATGATCCTTAATCTTCAATTGGGTCAAAAATTCAAGAAGAAATCTCATCACGTCTAAAAGGTTGATGGAATTCAAATCCATAACCAAATAATAAAGGACATGTTGCCTTGGTGAAAGCCTCAATCATTCCTTAACCATTTAACAAATAGCATTAAAAGAACTAAGCCCTTGACTAAATCTTCTAAACTTCTTGAGAGGAATGTCTTGAGATATAACGATTAGGATAAACCCTAATTAATGACGATGAACTCGCAATAAGGGAAGAGTAATGCTCAATGTAGCCTTGAAGTGAGACTTTAACTCAATAAACCTCCATAGAAGAATCACTACCAAGCTCAAATAAAATGAAGAGAAATCCTGATTCTCTGGCTGAGTTAAACCTTAATGCCTTTGTTCCTTGAAAGAACTCTGATGAAGAAAAATTTGTATCTTGAGGAAACCTAATAGCAAAGACGTATCTGTTGCTTGAGATCCAAAATCCTAATCTCATACCAAGAATGATGAGAGCTCCAGTCGAATTAACATGAAGAATGTAACAACCTTAGTCCATAGAGAACAACCCTAATGCCGAACTCTTCGATCCTGTAACCATGGGGCCAACGCTATGTGTGAGATGTACAGAGCGTGATGAGGGATCTTAGGGGAAAAAATTGGGGTATAACAGCTGCCCTTATTTAAGTGTCTTCTATCCGGAGATACGAAGATTAAAATCTTCGTTTCGACGCGATTGAAGATACTTAAATATATAACAAGCCCTATTTTTGTCCCTAAGATGCCATGCGATGTTTATGATTATGGATGTAAACTTCCCATAGGTGAACAAGACGCCACTAGAGAAATGAAAATAAAATCAACAGACTTAACAAAAAGAAGTCGACCTAGGAAAATAAATCCCTAGGGAACAACATTTCAATCTATTGGAGACAAATTGGCTTCGCTAGGGAAAAAAAGACTCAACTTTACTGGGGTAAGATCCAGAGAGGAGACAAAATAACATGAACTCCAAAACTGAGGGAAAATTAATGGATGACAACAATAAAACAATAGCTGTAAACTATCCACTCATAGAGGAGATAGCAAAAAAGAGAGTAACATCAACACAGGGGATTGGCATTCGCTAACCAGAAAAGAGAAAACAGGAACAATGAAGAGAATACCGGCTCAAAGACGACGATAACCATCAACACACTGACGTTTACTGAAGGTGGAGAAAAGAGAATGCACCAGCTTTTACTGAAGGTGATGTCTCAGAGAGCAATAACAAACTTCCCAAAATCCTGGCGTTCTTCCTAGAACGAGTAAAAATACAAGCTATCTCAAATAATGAGACTACCACTTGTAAAGATTTCACAACAAACTTCTCTTACAAAACTTCTTCGAAGAGATACCATTTGATGGAGAATCGGATAAACTTCCCCTCGATCCTGACTATACGCCACGAACTGGTCTCAGTTTCTTCCTTAACCAAGATATTTCACTTGGAAAGGGTAAAAACACTGCTATAAGAAACTTTCAATGAACTGTCTTTATCATTGAAATATAGCCAAACTCAACAACAAACTATCTTCCATATTGACGAGACTACCATTCCTCAGAGTAACAAATTTTCATCAACGAACTACCTTCCATAATGACAAGGCTACCATTCATTGGGAAAATAATCTTCATCAACGAACTATCTCCCATAATGACGAGACTACCATTCATTGGAGTAACAAATTTTCATCAACGAACTACCTTCCATAATGACAAGGCTACCATTCATTGGAAAAACAATCTTCATCAACGAACTATCTCCCCTAATGACGAGACTACCATTCATTGGAGTAACAAATTTTCATCAATGAACTACCTTCCATAATGACAAGGCTACCATTCATTGGGATAACAAATTTTCATCAATGAAATACCTTCCATGATGACAAGGCTATCACTCATTGGGATAACAAATTTTCATCAATGAACTACCTTCCATAATGACAAGGCTACCATTCATTGGAATAACAACATCTCAGAAACGAACTACCTTCCATAATGACAAGTGTTGTACCCCAAAATTTACCCTCCCTTTTTCACAAGAAATCACAACCCTAGGGTTTTCTCTGATTTTTAAGATTGGCTCAAGAATCGATCAAACAGACTTTTCTTTGGCAGTAAATCAAGAATAAGATTTTCTCTCGCATTTCTCAGAAGAAATTGAATCCACAGAAATTCAGTTTACTGTTACATTGTTTTCACACTTTTTCAAAGTTTGCTGAAAGGTTAACTGATTGCTCTCAAAGCCTGATTATCTGGGATAAGAGATGAGACTTTTATTTGGAATATTAAGGCATCTTCTTGTTAATGGAATGAAAGGTTTACCGTTTAATGGAATGCTTGCTTGTTTAACTATACAACGCATATGTTGATTGGAATGCTGTTGCAAAGTTACGAGACTGCAAAGTTTTGGATTATTTGAGATTTAAGTTATCTGGATTAGAATTGTTGGAATGCAATTTCAATTATTTTGATTTGAGAATCTTAAATAATTAAGTAAAGGTTCAAGGAAGAATGGCAAGATATGTGACAATAGAAAAGTTCTTTTGGATAAAGACTTTTTATTCATTTCAAATGTTGTTACAAAATTATTTGAATATTGTAAGTTTTACAACTTATAGTATTTAAAATAATAAATGTTTACAATAAATGGAAAATAAATCTAAGTCTAAAGCCTAAACTCCATTTCCCCATGCTCAAGGTCTCTTGCTTCCTCTACTTCCTCTATCGTCCAATTGGTGCTCACCTCAAAAAGACAAAGGAAAAGAAAATTAGTACAAGAATTTTCAAATGAAAAAGAAAGAAAAAAATCATCATTAAAAATTTCCGTCCGGAATTAGAGTGCTATTTGTTCATCATATTTTTATTTTTCTCTTTGCAAATCACAAGAAGATTGCTCTTCTTGGTTCACAAAGAGAAAAATAAAATTAGCATACA